GCGTAGGTGTGTAACTAATAAATCATTTAAAGGTTTTAATCATTTTCTCCCACCAACTTCTTCAAGTGACTCGATTTAGTCACACTGTTCCTTCACACCGCTGGGTGTACATTTAATACAATCGATATATTCTCACGTTTAACCTTCACACGCTAATATCAGTGTGTGTATTCTCCTCCTCTGTACAATTCCCAGGGTGCTGACAAGGAGAATTATTTAACAATCAGGAGCTTTTTTAGTTGGTGATCATTTCCATTATTCTCGTGACCCAGGAGAGGATTTCCTCTCTTGCGTGACCTTAATGCTCAATCCAGGGAGGCTCGTGATACTCGACTGAAGTGATGATAATATTAGTTTCAGCCCGTGAGTTAAGAAAAATATAGTACATACTAAGTCTAGCATCTCGCCAATACTACGATAATTGATGTGGTCAAATTAAAGCCCAATAAGAGCTATTTGGACGGGAGACCTTATTAACATACATGGTATAATGTATGTTAATAAGGTCTTTGAAACCACATCACAATAATTGGTGTATTCCTGTCCGCTATACGGCTGGGAGAGAGAAAATGAAAATTGTATCGATCAAAGCCATATAAACCACACCACAAGAATAATTGGTAATTTTTTGCAGAGACTGTTTTATAATTTGAGTCCTCGGCATAATAGATCGGCATTAAATATTAACTGAATTTAACACTTATGGCGCTAAATTTTTTCAATTTGGTATTAAGTAAGAGTTGTTCTGACTTTATGTATGAAATACGTTACATCTAATACAGGAGTTTCATGGCTAATTAAGTAGTTATGTGAAAGAAATAGAAAATGGAGGTCATATGAAAAAAACACTTAGCACAACCTGATCACATACGGCTGTAACCGCGAATCAAACACAGCAATATTTTTGATTTTACATGATTAATGATACAAAGTTTGAGATATTTGTGGCATCTTTCATTTGGGAATGAAGTTAATGAATAGATGTTGTTAAAAAGAATTAGTTTGCCTTTGGTTGACAGTTCAGTCAAAAACTTCGGCGCCTATGTGGTTGGTTCCTAAGGCGCCGCCTCTTTCATATGATAATTTCCAGTTTGGCTAACTCAATTATGTCAAATAGGCTTAATTGGGTTGAGGAAAAAATTCATGATGATTTGAGTTATCATGGGTGTGCTAGTTCAGGCCTGTTTCATACTACATGCAAACTTGTCGATCAGAAGTAACCGACTAATCTAGACTGCAGGGATATCAGTTATTCAACACTCGAAAGAAATCGTTTAGTCTTGCTTGAATTACCGGTCGAAAAAGTCACTTTGTACTAACGGAAAGCGCCCTAGGTAATTTTACCCGTTAAAAAGCAGCTGTAAAAGCCATCTCAGTCTTTTCTACCATAGTCCAATTATTTTTTCTGAATTGACGAAGAATATTTGGCTTGTAAAATGATGATCTCTGACTAAAAATAAATGCCCATTCCATCTCCTGCCTCTCGTGGGGGATTGCTCTCGGCGAGGAGAGAAAAAAAATTGAGTGGCTGTAGACGCAATGATTTATGCGGAGACAGGCTTTTGTTTATTTCAAATCAACTGTGGTCAGTTATTGTATGAAACAGAACAGTTTTTTGAAAGGCTAAATTAAAATGGATTGCAACCAGCTTACCAAACTGTTTATTACTCTCCTCGCCCGAAATTTAACCCATGCAAATCATTTTCGGGAAAATTTAAGCACGCGATCATTCAGGGAAGTGTCATTGAATGGAATATTTGTTTGGCAGACATAAGACTTTTTCAGGTCGCTAAACGGTATCATCTCTGGGGAATGGAAATTTGAGTGTTGAGAGAATAAGATCTTTTCGAGGTGCTTTACAACAAGTTCCAAGTGAGATAAATTATTCATAAACACTAATAACAAACGATGAAATGCGATCATATTTCCTCGTTTTCACTCGTAAAACGAAGTAACCGTATGCACCATTTCCGCCACCATTTTACCAAGATGTAAAAAGTAGCAAATAATGACCTCCGCGAAAAATGACAGCCGAGCTTCCTAAATCGCAAAAGACGTGTCAAAAATCATAGTTTCTTAGCAAACTGCGAAAAGAAACTACTTTGAATCCAGAAAAACTTTTTCGAAAAGATAACGGAATCTTTTAAAAGCCATCCCCAAAATATACGCTATATTTATAGGAGTTTATCACAATTTTTCTTCTGTCATATTGCAGACGATGCAGTTTCATCCTCACAGGTTCAAAACGCGACTAGTCTCTTTTCAGTTTGCCGGCTATTTGTACCAAGGTACGCAAGTGAAATAAAAGCATTTGGATTTTTCTGAATTCGAATTGTATTTGCTTTTCTACAATTGGAATTTTCCTCAGCTAGTTATGTAGATAGCCGTACAAATCATTTATTTTTTGTTTAATTTAACTGCATGTTTCCAACTGCGTTCGTTTAAGCCGAAAAGGTCTATGTTTGAATTAGCGTACGTAACAAAAGATGTTTACCTTCAAACTTCGCGTTAGCTGACATGTTGAAGCTCAGGTTACCTCACTCTTTCCTTTCTGTTATTTTTTTTTTCGAATGATACGCGTTTTTTTGAGCCGTTTTTAATTTCCCACCATCACGAACCCTTTTTCCAATTCAACATCTATTTTGATATTGCACTTTGAAGTGCAGACTTTGTTTAAAAAAAAACAACACTCAATATTTGGTCAAACCGCTAATGGATTTCGTATTCATGAAAAGAATATAAATAAAAATAAAACCTTATAGTCTGCCGTCGAGCAGCTGCTCAACTAGCTCTGACTGAGCAGGTTAGTGTTAGCAAAATTAAAAAGTAAATTGTTGAGGTATCTAAGATGGATTTATTTATAAAACTTCTATTGTTGATTTTTCAGTTATAACAACAACAGTATCCTTTCCACGAGTTCCTTCATTTGGTTAAAATTCTCTCTCGTTTTTTTTAAACATATTTAAACGTGACATTGAACTCGTATCGGAGACACAGTTTTTTCTCTACGATACTCCTAATGAAACACCAGGCCACTTCGGTTTCCAAATTGAATGGGTACTTTATATATGATCAGATTAAGGCATGAATTCAATATCTTGGGATAAAAACTTTCCTTTTTTTAAAAACTGGCAATAAAAGCTTTTGAAAAGAGCTTGCAATTTCAAGTTATCATGTTTGTTATCCCATACAAAAAGGAAGCTCTGTCTGTTAGCCTAAAGCACTGTGTTTTTGAGGAAATTGTGTAGTTATCAATTTGAAAGACTATATAAAATTCAATGTTTTTTTCAATTTGGGATTAAACGACTATTTCGGCAAAGAAACGTCTTTCACAGTTTCCAGAAGTTTCTTAATAATTTTATTTCTTGTTCTTTCATTCTAACAAGCAGTGAAAAGGGTTACTGAAATATCTTGTGAATTCAGAAAATATCGTATTTTTCCCAAAAAAACATTTGACTAGATTGAAACTTTAGTTTCATACTCTTGACTTCTAAGAAGGTAAATTAGCAATCTTGCTATCGGCAAAGGCAAGAGTTTATAATCTCTTGGCAAAGTTTTCTTTCGTTGTGAAGCGTGGGAGATGTTTATGACATTGGTCAAGAAGTGCTTTAGGCTCACTTTTCATTAGAAAGATTATTCATGTTTCTGAGACAACTTGAAATAAATAAAAATCGAACAGAAAAGTAAAAATTTAGTGGCGAGCAAACATTCCGTATGCATATGAAGGTGGGGAACTTCTCGGTAGATATTTTGAGTAAGCAATTTGGAGAGAACAAGGGCCTTCTGGAGATTTCTCTCAAAAGTTTTTGAGAGAATTTCTCTCAGACGGCTCAAAACGAAAGCTTAAATCTAAACTCATAATATGGTCTTTCTCGTATCAATTCAAACTGTCCTATGTTATTTTATCAATTGAAGAGAAAACATATGTTACACAGCTGAAAGCAAGCAAGTTCCTCAAAACTTTAACCAAGAAACATATTTGTCATTTTCCCTTGGCATACAAACATCTGCTCACCGGAAAATGCTTTTTTTTGGACTACGAAGTGACAAGATCCCGTCAATTCTTTTGAGTTTACTTTGTGGCAGCATTGCCGTAGTAGAACGAGGAAAACTCCATTACGTAGAGGAAAAAAGCGAAAAATTAAATAAACAACGCATGACAGTGAAGTGAAACTGCTTCCTCCCTCCTATTTTTCTTCCTTGAATTCACTCTTTAGATCGTCATGTGGTCTTATTCACTTATCGGAAAATACTTAAATATGTCTTTTTCGTTCATAAGATAAAAATACTTTGTAAGTTTTGTCGTTCAACATTCCTCGTGCAATTCGGAATCAAGTTGTCAATGGGTTGAACAGCCACTAATCCGTTTCATTGCTCTTTTCAGAAAATTTGCCCGCTTATTATACAATGATCTTAAACTTCCCTGTATGACTTAAGATTTTACTAGAACGCTAGATGCTATTTCTCTTTAAATTTGTGATAGTAAATGCATTAACGCGACAAATAAGCCGCGACTAAAATTAATCCCTGAGAGAGGCATTCAGTAAACTATCACAGAGATAATTTGAAAGCTTCTTTGGTAGAACTGCTGTTTGTTATATGTTAGAACTCGAAGTAGGCAAACTCCTACATAAGACCAAGACTTGCCGTGTTTCAAAAAGTCAAAGGTACCCCAGTCAGCTGGAGCATCGCCAAAGAGAAACAATCAACGACTGTTTTACCTGTTTTGTATTTACGTTTAGTGGGAGTCCTGAACATGCATTGTTGGTCTGAGAAGATGAACGCTCCGAAATGAAATGAAATTTCATAATGGTATTATGTTAATTTGATACCGCTTTTAATCATAATTTGCACCTTTTGATTGTCTAAGTGGTAATTTTCTTGAGCCTGAAAACGCGACGAGGAAGCACGGAAAACTGGATGTTATGAAGCTGCAAACGGAATGTTTCCTGTGTTTTAAGTTGATTTGCTAATCAGAACTGAAAACGCAATGCACTGACCTGTGTTTTTCATTATTTCTCTGAAAGCAAGGGCTTCATACACCTGAAATATCCGAGTGTAGTAAGTTAAACTTGTTCACTGACTTGCCCGCGAGGTATCAATACTGACAATTTCCAGACTTCTCGTGTGACCACTTTGTTTTGAATAAATATCGAATGTAAATAACCCACTAAACCCGATATATGACCGATAAGAAAGGAACTCTTCTGCACGTGTTAAAAAAAAAAAACCTGTTTGATGAACTGAGAAGACAAAACAGTTTTCTAAGAGACTGCCGGGAATAGCTCATTTATTTTTCAGTGATACAAAGCTATTTAACCAGGAAAGATGTCAGTTTTCAAACATACCATTTTTTAGAGAAAGATTTTTTTTTTCGACTTGTCACGAGCGTGGAACAAATAAAAAATTCTGAATGGCTTGCACAAACAACCTGCTAAAACCGGTTTTATTTGTCAAAAGTTGTGCGGCAAGATGAGACCAGATGATTCATCAAAATTTCCCAAATATCATCCCCTTTGAGTGGTTAAGAAAACAAATAAAGATATTTCCTCTAAAGAAGGGAGAAAAGTAAAGTGCCGAAAGAAATTCAATCTGAGAAAGAAATTTTGATCGTTGAAATGGCTCCAAAGACCACAAAAAAATAGAAAAACAAAGATATAATTGCAGACCCTTATGTTATGAATATTAAATGCTGGATGAAAATATTTTCGGAGTAATTGACAAATATGAATGTGAATTTAATGCTATAGTACCAATATTAGATTTGTCATTGTGAATAATGCAAATATACGTGAAGAAAACGCACGCGCACGACAGCTAATTTATATTTTTGCTTTACGAGTTTTTCTTGATGACACAGTTTTCTTCACTGTTCACAATATTCTAACTCTTCGTTTATCCATGATGGCTAAAGTATGTTCCAGCTTGCTGCAGAGTTTTTGCTACCCATCAGCGCGAAATACTTGGTAAAAACAATGCTGTGAACTTACTAGGAATTAATCGCCCGATTGTGCAAAATTGTGGTTTTTCTTATCTCGCATTTGAACGCCAAGTGATAATAATTTATTTAGATCTCTGTTTTATTTTATTTTTTTATTCAGCTATCTCTGAACAAATATAAACAAATCGTCTACGGTTGACACTGGAGGCAAATGTAATTTGAAAGAATGTTATCCTCGCTAAATTCGTTACACTGAGTTGTTGTTTAGAGCCGATCAAGAACACTTTCTTAGCCTCTACTCTCCTCTACCGGTCATTTTAATTTCACAAAAATTCCACGAAACAACTTGCATGTGTTTGTCTCCGCTAGAGTGAGTTGGTCATCATAATGCAGGGAAAATCTCTACGATCCCTAACAATTGTTCTAATGCTGGATCTCCTAATTAAACATAAAGAACTTCTAAGTTTAAGCTTATATTAAGAGCAGAGACGGTTTTGATACCGGAACCGGAAGAAGAATGAAACTAATTCTGGCGCACCTGGACCCCAATGTATCGACAGTAAGGTCGTCGTTTTAGCATTTCAAACCGGATCGGAGCGGATCAAAAAGGTGTAGTCAGTACCATCAGAGAGATTTTAACTTCTGGCGGCCGCCTGCGTCTCAAAAACGTTTGTACTGAAGTTAACAATACTTCAAAGTATCGACAAGATTTCGTTTGTTTTCCTTAGCAGCAAGAACTCAGATGTGAAACACCGAAGAATGATTCAAGCGAAAATTGCCGAAATAATCGAGGGTTTCGTGGGGAACCGGAATTCAACAAGTCGCTTCGAGTTAGAAATTGCATGTGATCACAGGAAATCAGCTCTGGACTCACCTCAAATCACTGTCCATTGTTATAGACCAAATGATATTTTTTTCAGCCACGTTATTCAGAAATGGGTGAACCAAAATCCTCACCATAATTATGACAACTCTGTGAACAGCTAGTCCGGTTGAAATACATTGATTCTGTAAAAATAGTAACTACATGCAAAAAAAAAACCTCTTGTCACAACCGTGGTACAAAAACACTACAGATGTTTAAACATCACATTTGAATTGAGTAAACTCGCTGGGTGATTTTCGATTATATATGTTAATAAGATCAATCCTTCGGAGTCAGGCATGGTTACCGTAGCACCGGCACGTTGGTGATGGATTTCTGTGACTATTTAAGTGTATCCCTGATACATGAACGTCAAAATGATGAGAAAATGTCCCTCGTAAGTAAACAAGTATGTATTTTCCACTTCATGTCTAAATCTGGTAATTTTTCTCTAAGGAAAGAGGGGAAGGTAAGGGAAGGGATCACTTAAATCAGTCTCTCGGGCCCTGGATTCCCTTTCAAGATCTCGAACCCCTTGCCTGCATAGCTGGCAGTTTTGTCCGCGCTTTAAACTAGCTTTCATACCAAACTTTCCAGTTTTAACGCATCCGCCACATGACGGTTCAAAACGCACCCAAAACCGTTTTCTTCGCATGAAAAGCGTACTGAAAAAAGCGCCGTCATGTGTTAAAAAAAAAAAAGGGACTTAGTCGTAGCGTTAAATTCCACAGCCACCATAAACCAATGAAGGAGCGAATCTAAGAGATCCTCGCAGCTATGAACACTACTGAGCTAGTAGTTGAAAATAAGACCTGAAAATAAATTCATGAATTTATTTTCAGGTCATTTTCATTTTAAAGTAGTGTTCATAGCTGCGAGGATCTCTTATATTCGTTTCTTCACCGCAGTGCTCATATATGATTTTCATACATCTACAACGAAGGAGGTTAGATTAGGGATGTATTACGAGCTAATTTGGTTTTATCAACAGAGTTGATGATGTGAATCGTATATTGCTGAGATTTTAAAGCCACGGTTTCGAGTGTCAGTTCATCGTTTGATTCGATTCACTTTGACGAAGTCGTTAGTTTCACACTCTCTTTACGGTCTGATCTTAGTTGATCAAACCAAGAAGCTGATATTGAATTTGATAATGCTGGAAGCAAAACCATTCTGTACTAGTTTCGATTTTTCCAGTTATCCATTGTGTTATTATTGCAACCAGAATTTGAATCTCAAAGAAAACTGTGACCTTACTATTGTCTTTGAGCAAACAAAGAGGACGTACTACACTACTAATTTCTAAGTTTCTTAAAGAAATTGGGAGTCATAAACCACAAGCAGCAAAGTCTCAAGAGACAACCTGTGCCATTTCTTATGACTTTGCTGATTGAGTTTCACATCACTGGGGTCACTGCTCATCAGCTCAAATAAAACAACAAGTATCTCAGCCCACACCTCTTACCCCTGACTTGAGGTAGCAGCAGTAAGGCTAAAAAAAACGATCTAGATTTTGATGGAATACTAACCAAACAATGGTTGAACACAAATCTTACGTATAACCTCACTTTCCCTCATTAGTCGTCCCCATCTACCCACTGAGACTACACAGAAAGGAGGTAAGAACAACTCATAGCTTAAGATTGTTTATTCAAAATAATACACTTCATCATAGCGACAAATCCAGTAAGCTCGCTGATTAGACAAACGTGTCTGTCACACACTTAAAGTAGTGTTACTCCATGACAGAGAGACACAAGTCCAAAATTTTCGAAGCCATAATTGTCTCATTAGTATTACTATGTTCTACCAAATTGATCACATCCACTGTACAATAATTGGTTTCTCTTTAAAAAAAAATGGCTGGTACATGTAAATTGAGATTCAAGAGATGAGTTGTCTATCCCACCACCATTGTGTTCTCATTTGGGAAGTTGTACTCAGGAATCTGAAAATGGAGCAGAATGTTGGAAATAACAATTGTGATTTTAAAACTGAGACAAATATGATGTGATGTGATGCAAAAAAGTGCTTACAATAAGTCCCTTAAACCGAGAAAAATAGCGTTTTGAATGAGTGAATGAATAAACATCATTTTAAGACAACCATACCCAAAAACCATAACAATGAAATAATAATCATAACAGACTACACTCCATGAAAAAACTAGTCATCTAACTTCTTCAAGGTAGCTTCCAGCCACAGCAAGAATAAGATATAAAGATAGACATTGTGTGAGAGACAAGGTGATCCTGTTCCCTCAAAAGGGGTTCCAATCTCAGACTCGGGTCAATGGAGTTCGATGCTCTACTACTGATTCACAGAGTCCTCATTGGTGAGCCCAGAGATTCTCTATGTTGCAAGTATCATGAGCATAAATGGAAACTAAAAAAGCTAAATTTTGAACTAGCATATGGACTAGGTGTTACTCAAAGTTAATATAATACACAAGTCCCACATACTGTTAGAATCATCACTGTTTAAAGAATATTATTTGCAATGAAGAAACATGGTAACTATTGCACTTGGTCCTCAAACAAAGAAAATTGTAAGTTGAATCTGCAACATATGTACCCACATCATGATTGAAAAAAAAAATGAATGAAAACAAAGAAATGAAGAGTTTTTTACAACAATCTTTCTTGCTGCTTTGTTACCTCAAGATTGAGTGGAGCTGGTCCCTTTCTGATTCTTCCAGAAGCATCATAATGTGATCCATGGCAGGGGCAGTAATAGCCACCATATTCGCCAGAGTTAGCAATTGGAACACAACCAAGATGTGTACAGACTCCAATTACAACTAGCCACTCATCCTTCACTACACGCTCAGTATCATCTTGAGGATCTCGCAGACTAGCAAGATCAACATTACGGACTTCTTCGATTTCTTCAACTGTGCGCCGACGCACAAACAGAGGCTTTCCACGCCATTTGAAAACCATGTTCTTTCCTGGGCAAACAGTAAAAATTTAGTTTTTGAGATCAGTGAGACCTCTATATTCTGACAAACTTTTTTATTAGACAAACTCTATTAGGGAACTCTTAAGTAAACACAACAGCCATTCAATACCAAGGTAAATTTCACAACAAGTCAATAAGAGATAAAGTACATGTACATACATGCAAACTACCTGATGAGCAGGAAAACATGAGTGACAAAGTCATGATTGGTTTATGTTCATAATCTCAGGGGTTCAGAAGGAGGTGCAAGTTTTCTGGACAAATCAAAGAGCAGAGTGGAACAAAACCAATACAATTCTAGATTTCTAACACCAACTGATTGAAAATTTAGTCCAGATAGAACTACATTGAAATCTTGACACAGACATCCACATGGGGTCTAAGCAAGGCAGCTGCTCCCAACAATTTTTCACAAATAGAGTTTATCAGTAATATCATGCATTAACTTAGCCTAAGTTTAATTCAACCATTTGGAATGAAATATCTTACCTTCAGGGATTGTTGAAAGATCTACTTCAATCTTTGCCATAGCCAAAACATCTGCTGATGCACTCATGGTGGAAATAAACTCCAACACAACATTCTTGCCAGCATGTAGGCCTGCCACACCCATTCCAGCCACCATGAGATATGTGAAGGCTCGCCGACTGATTTCTGATGTGTTTGGCTGATTTGGATCCTGAGAGACATCTCTTCTGTATGCACTGAAGTCAGGCATTGACACATCCGTGTGGCTGAAACGTACTTGTGTCCTACCTGTGTTGATAGTTTAAATCAGAATAATGAATATTTTGCTACAAAGATTAATTTGATAGCACCAAACATCACTTCAACCAGCAAACATTGAAACAACCCCTTAATTATAAACATATAAAAGTGTTTCTCAGCCAATTTTACCATAAATAACATTTGATTACACAAAGTTGAATACCAAAAAAACTGAAGTGGTTGTAAAGCAGAATTTTGTACATTGCAACCTGGACTATATTGGTTTTAGTAACAGAAACACAAGACCCTGTACACACAGGCTGAAAAAACAGCATGATAGACTGCCAATGACAGGTTTTATTGAAATTCAAAAAATACAAATTTCCAAAATTTCCCAAATGTTTTATCACCCATAAAATAGATCTTAGGTCCAGAAATGGACTCTTGTTGTCCCCTCTTTTACTTAACTCCTGAATTAGACCAACAAGTCAAAGAACAATGGTACTACAAGCATTTGTAGACAGTCTTGTGGAAAACCGATCAAGACATGCCTCTACAGAGTGGCCAAAAAAGTGGTGAAGTTCTCAAAATTGCATGCTCAGTGGGGGTTAGTTTGTGCCCCTACCACATGCATAATATCCCCTAACAACACACAATGCAAATCACTAAAGCATACATGTTACACAAGAACCTTACTTGAGTGTCAAAGTTACTTGGCATTTCAACTAATTGGGGAACATAAATAAAATTTTACTTTTGATTGTGAGGAAAATTTTGAAAGAGATGTGATATATGCAAACGGATGTAAAACGAAAATCTTCGTAAACGATTTAAAATTTCGTGACTTTGCAAGGTTACGACACATTCATAAGTTTTCAAAATGTGGAAACTTGGCACGATTTCTTGACTAATTTCACAGTGCTTTTCCATTAGTGTCCTTGAACTTAAACCGAATAATCCATATCAAAGGACGCTATATCAATCTAGGGAGGTCCACTGGCTCAACATTACATAATTAGCTTCAATATTCTGATCGGACTATTTCAAAACGCCGGGAAGAGAAATAATGTCATGGATTAAAGTATGCCACACACCAGTGCACACGATCAGCTCAGAGTTCTAACTAAATTTTGAAAGTCGCTCCTTACCAATGTGAGTCGTTGTGGCGACCATGTTTCCAGTTGGGATAGTTTTTACAAGCGATTGACTTGTTAGAGCTGCCGGCGGACTCTGTACTGTCTCAAACGTAGGAATAACAGCAGCAGGAGTACCTTTTAGCGCTTGTGCAACATGGGTAGTGGTAGCAGATAGAAATCTTGAAAAGCCTGGCGATAAACATTTGGTGGAAAACATCCTGAGCGAGATATTTCACGCCAGAAAGCCTCTTGCTCTCTCACGAAACTTGAAGTTTTTCAATATGGCCGACAAAAGTGCGTCACAATTACCCGTGATACAACACGAGGACAATATAATCAAACCGCTGACAAAAAGTGTAAATTGAGCGCCATTTTCGAAGTTTTGTTATAGTTTTTCAAACAAAAGGCTCCCTTATATCTTTATTGATTTTGTAAAGATGATAGTTGGAAGAATATCTATTGTAGCTCTTGGACATATTGATAATTATGGACGATGGAAGTAAGTTACGCGTAAGAACAGAACAAGCTGTCATACCCGATGGCAGTGTCGTGTTGCAGTCGTTCATCGCAAAACTTGGTAAGAAAGTGAGCAGTGAAGCCTACATTTAACTTGTGTTTGAGTTCAGCCTTAGTTAGGTCACTTCGGTTTATGTTTAAAAAACTAGATCAATTATCTCCGATTTCTGTGTGTGATAATCACATACAGATATCAGAAGCATCACTGATAGTCAATTCACGGTTTGCTTACTTTCAACAACTGTAACTTAGGTGATAAAAAAAATAAGCTGAATTATAAATGTACACGCATTTTGATTTATCACCATGAACAACTTTTTGCTTTGTTATTATATAAAACAAACAGATTCCATGTTGCTGTGGAAGTGTAAAGTAATAGATCACAAGTGACAACAATTGTGGTAATAACATCAATAACACACTCAGTTACACTTCGTGTTCCTCTTTGTTGCCAGTACCACATTTTGATGTCATATGTGATCTATTACTGAACAGACTCATGGCAACATGGAATCCATTTGCTAATTAGAAATATCAAGCTTGTAGTGTACAATACTGTAGTTGTTAAATACAAGTTCAATCGTGGTCTTAGTAACTCTGTTTATTCTGTTATTGTAAAATTTCAGTCTTATACTGTCCTAGATGTCCTTAAAATTGCTGTTATTCATTATGAGATCACTCTGCAACATGTTGATAGGTCATCATGTAGAAGAAATCCGTGTGAGAGCACTGAAGAACATTTTATTTAAGCTAGAGCACAAGTTGGTTTGTCCAGCTGATCTGGTTCAAGAGAGGCAGTTGCTGATTAATCTTTTAGAATGGTTCAACTTTCCAAAGCCACCCCTCAAAAAGGAGGTGCTGGGAATTCTGGAAATTTTGTCGAGGGTGAGTTTACAGCACTAGGTGGCTGAAGCATTTACTGGTAGTTTCAATTCATTGATAAAGTGCAATGCCAGTATCCAAGCTCTGTATTTGTAATTCTTTTTACTGTCTGCCATATAATTCTCATGATGTTAGCTCAGGGAATTTGATATTGGATCAACTAATAGTCCTCTTGTTGATATTTTTCTTTATTCTCGACACTTGTCTTCTTGATATTGTATTAACATTGTGAGGAGAAATTCTGTCTATTTTACCCATTGGGTTCATATTGCAGTTACAAGTGAGCAACTGTTGTTATGAGTATTGATAGCGTCCAAAATTATTGGTTACTAACTTGCTTTGCAAGCAGATTTTTTGTTCATTTGACTAGAGATAATACATTTCTGCAGATCAGGACTATTCAAGAAACCTGCAAAAAATAAAAACCAATAATATTTTCATGCTTTATGGTAATTCAAGTTTCTTTATTTGAATGTTTTCATCAGCCTGTTTCTGGAGCAGAGGGCCTGCTAAGTCTTGGAGCAGTAGAATTTCTATCACACTTAAGGCAAGATGTTGATACTGAATTACACCTAAGTGTTGATAATGTAATACATCAGCTACTGAGCTTGCCGCAAGAGGATGCTGTGGATCACAGTCAACAGTGCCTGTACAAGGAGCAGTACCCTGGGCCAGTGGATCAAACTCAAACATCTGTGGATCGTGATGAGTATCGGCAGTCCCTTGGTGAGTGCAAAAAATATTTGAACTGACAGTAATTAGTAGACATCCTGTACACATTTATCAGATTGGTTTAATTGGGCTGGGAGATAGAACTGGAAGTGTATAGATGGAAGAAAGGAAATAGCAGAAGGAAAAATGAAGGTAGTGGAGAAAAAAAGTGAGAGAAAATCACCTACATGTATCATGATATTATTGCCTATATTCTTCCTTTTTTTCTTCCTTTAATTCATTCGACTCAAACAGTAGCAGTTCCTACTTGCAATGAGGGACTCAGATTGAAAAAGCAAGATAAAATTTCTTGATTGATGTTTTCCTTCAAATCATGGTTTATTAATTGAAAAATCTGTCAGATTTCAGGCCTAATAAAGATTTGCCTTGCTTTGAGTCAGAACAACAGCACCTTTGAAGCTTGGTAGGACTTGAGAAAATTTGATAGGACAATAAATTAGGGGTTGCAATTGTCTCATAGACCTGATGACAGATTTTTTAGCAAAATAATCAATAATGTGCCTTGGAGACCTTCATGATGACAGCAGTTTGTATGAAACTCCATTCATAGGTCAAACTGCAGCCTTACCTCTCAGCACCCAGTCAACAAGTACTAACCCTCACCCTGAGGGTAGCAGAGCCTTTTTGTCATCTATCAGCCCAGTCAGTGGATATTTTGAGAAACAGGGTGGCATGACTCAGAAAGCAATCATTCCTCTACAAAGTGAAACACACTCAGAGTCCTCATCAAGTAAACAAACCACAGGTATAGTACCCCTCAAAAATAAATTGACAGTTCCTTGAAACTCAATCCTCCATGCTCAATTCTTGATCCCCAATTCACAAATACTTTAAAGGGTTATTTAAAGAACCCTTTAACTCTTATAAGTGATTAAAATGCAACTTCTCCCAGTATTTTCCATACATTATGAAACAAACAGGTGATGAGAATACTCAAACTTATCAGTTAGAGGTCTTTACCTTGATCTATGTCTTGACCAATATCTTCCATACAGAAAATAGCTTGCAGAGTTCTCAATCATTTGCTGTTAAGTGTCATAGATGCTTATGAATAAAAGTAAATCTGTAGTTTTCTTTTACCCACATTACACTAAATTTGCTTTAATTTTCAGGAACCTTTAGTGACAACAAGTCAAGCCTGACCTTTGTTCCTTGGTTACCTTTGTCAGCCAGTGACAGACACATTTTGTCTGTGACAGCCAGCCGTTTACAGAGTAGAAGCTCTTCCTTAGTGTCTAAGTCTTGTGAGTTTCTGAGAGATGTTCTGTTTAAGGATTTCCCTGCTGAGATCTTCTTACACAGGCCAAGCGTGCTTCAGGTAACAAGAAAATATGTCACTCCTTAACTTCCTGAGTGTTTATACGGCATCCTGAGTAAGTTGACATTTTGAGAGATTCAGTTTAATACTCTAACACCCAGACCACATATTTGTAATTCTCCTTACTGTCAACTCTTCAATTCTTATAATGTTAATTAAGAGAATTTAGTAAATTGGGTCAACTAATTATCCCTAAATTGATATTTTTCTTTATTCTCATCACTTATCTGGTTGATACTGTATTGATATTGTGAGGAGAAATTCTGTCTTGGTCACCTGTAGAAGTTAAAGGGTTAGCTTCAGGTGTTGGTTGTTCAAATAAAGGGGGTAAAATTGTAATTAAATAGAACTGTGGTGCTACATTGTTGGGGAAGTATAACAACGAAGATAAATTGGTTTTATCAAATGAGTTGATGATGTAAATTGGCCACCGTAAAGAGGATGAAAGCTAAGGTTTTGAGCATTAGCCCTTCTTTAGAGAAAATGGTTGTTGGAAGGCTGGTTGGCATTATTCTATGGTTAAACTGTTATTCACTGGATTGCGTAGTATGTTTTTTTTAACACTTATCTATTGGTTAGGATTACAATTTAACCAGTGGATAAAATAGATTTGACACTTCAGTATTTCAAATGGATTATTTATAGCAGCAAATTAATATTACTAAATCAGACATTTGTGCTTTGTGCTCTTTGAGAGACTTAAAAATGAATGCAATGGATGCTTAAGTTTTTATTTTAATTTGTGTTTGTATTATCAACTGAAGTCTCTTCTAGAACTGTTGGAGGAGAAGAGCAATGTTGGTGATGAAGCTTCTCTTACACTTGGTGCCATACGCTGTCTGTGTGACCTGAACCATCATGTCCTTGTACGGCTCATGGCAGTGTGTGATCTTGTGCTTTTCTGTCCTGAACAAGGTTTGACACTTTGTTCTGTTTTGTCTTCATTAAAGAGGAGTTTTTCATATGGAACACTTTATCTATAAATTTCCTATAAATTTCATCATGATGTTCATGCTTAAGGTTAGGATTTTTTAAATCTTTTCTATCATTTGTCTCATTCCCTTTTAGGTTATTTTGTTATTTCCACTTTCTAATTTTTTAAAGAAAGTGACAAAACTTTTGAGTTGTAAAACATGTTTCAACAGAAACTTCTGTCATCTTCAGTTAATTACTGCACCAAGCATTGAAAGTTGAATTATATAGCTGCTGTCACTATTCATCTTAATAAGCATTGTTCTACTTACTTTCTTTAAATTCTTGACTTGCCTGCAAATATCAAGACACTTTCTAATTTGTGATGAAGTTATCAGCAGTTTCATTAATGGCAGGCAAGTGACAAAAACTACTGCTTTAACTTATCAGAATTTATCTCTCCCTGCTTTCATGACAGATTGTTGGAAATACAGGCATATTTCTTTGTCAATGGAAACAAAGAACCAAGGTACCGATCAACAGGTGTCAAATGTAAGAGAAACTGGAGATGGGGGAGTTGACAGGTGTGTCTGCATGCACAAGGATACATTAGACATGCATACAGTATTTTTTAAGATAGGGAGATCTTGATGGTCTATAGTTTATAGATAGTTAGTATTCTACAACATGAGCTACATGTGAAATAGGGGAAGTTTGTAATTTGTGAGAATGGGGACTTTGTCTGAAATAATTCCATCCAAGAAAGGGCTTCTGAAATTTTTTGCAGCCTTGGGACATCACACCCTGGAAAAATCTCTTGAATCTGTTATAATTTAAATCCTATAGGAGGAAATGCTTTCTCTTTCTCTTGGTTTGCATATTGCGCCAACAAATTACTAGAAATTTAGACTTGTTTTGGATAAAACAAGAATGGAGTTGCATTGAGCATTCATTTGACTTAAATGTATAGATTCACAGCAAAACCATCATTTTACCAGTCTGAGAATTCAAATAAAATTGACTCATGGTTGTCATTAGGAGGCAGAAGATGGTGGAAACCCACCAGCTGTCAGACCATTTTGCACAGGCTAATTACAAGTTGAGACCAAAGACAGATAATATGTATTTTTGAGCTGATTCTAACATCAATGTCTGGCTAAGAAAGGTTACTCAAATATGTCCACAATGCTGGAAGTCACATCACAGAGAGTTTTAAATTTTAAATTTTTCCCTGGAATCATTTCCTCAGACCCTCCTGAGAAAGTAATTTGGTTTTATCAACTTAGTTTTTAAATGTAAATTGGCTATTATAAAGAGTTTCAAAGCTGAAGTTTCAAGTGTTTGCTCTCAAGCTAACACACAGAACATTAGCTTTGAAACTTTTTCTAGTGGCCAACTTACATTATTTTATTTATCAACTCAGTTGATGAAACAATATTATCTTGTTATACTTCCCCACTGATGCTGCACCACAGTTTCTCTAAAAATTTACCCCCTTTATTTGCCCTTGTAGAAGGGCTTGTTTCTTTAAAACATGCCATGTTTGCAACATAATTCAAAATAATTTAATTCAGCTCTCTACTCAGTTCAGATTATGTATCTCTGATTGATGCATTACTGAATGATGTACTTTATGGCTTCTTGATGGTAAAAATTGGATCAAAGGTCTCAACCTCGTGTTCCTTTGCTTTCAGTGATGATCAATCCAGTTCCGATGTGTCTGACAACAAAGTGTCTCAGGCAAGTGATGAAGATGAAGATGAGATGGTCACGGAAGCCTTGCAGTTCAACCAGCTGTCCTTGGAGGAGTTTTGTATAATTTTGCTCTCTAAAGTTGTTCCCATATTTAAGGGATACCTGTGCATGGATTCAGCCATAATTGAATCAGCTGTGAGCTTGTCACACAAAGTGTTGAGTTTGATGATGAAAGTTCTTCCAGTTGATCTTTGGAGACATGGAACAAAGTTGAATTCTCTGATGGTAAGTCACTAATTCTGTTTGGTAGTAAAGGAAAGTTGATTTTAATTAATTATTTTCCAAAAAAATGATTGGTAAAGCACCTAATATTGTCACTTTTAAATTGTTTCTCCACATATATAGGCCTGGATTTTTCTAAGTTAGTTGAAATGAAACTTCTCAGAGAAATGTCCCATCACAGGAGATGTGGATCAAAAAATTAAAGTGGGTTTTTTTAAAGAGGAAGGGGAAATGATCTTTTGGAAGCTCTACACATGCAAAATGTCTGCTATTAGGAAGGTTCAGGTGTACAGTATGTTTAAAACAGTATAAGAGCATGACATGAATCATTACAGCATCTTACTTGTCCTCCTACTCATCAAGGGCCACAAGGATTATGTTTTACTTTGAACTGTGTCAGTCAGTATAACTGTCTGGGTGTTTTAAGTCTTAAATTATACTAAGCATGACAAATTTGCTATTTATCTGAATGTTTTTTTCTTTTCCAGGCTAGTTCTCTCGTAAATATAATGAAGAGTTTGGGTCAGAGTATTGTGCATCATATCAAATATTATGGAAGGCTTGGCCTGGATGAAGGGAAAGACAAACAAAAAGACTCCAAGCCACTAAAGCACACACTACCAATACATCGAATGACAGTTGTAAATCTGGCGACATTTCTGTTGCGGTTCCTAGATAGCTTAGTGCCTCTAGAAATAGTAAGTACACTATAGCTACTTCCCACTGATAAAGTTTTGTAGTAGTTGTTTAAAGTTAAAGAAACCTCCAAGTAGTTTTGCTATGAACACCTCTTTCTACTTAAGGCAGATATGCTCAGGACCACTGTGTACCACCTTTCAACAAACTGTGCAGGAGGATTTGTGGAGAGGTCTAAATCTTTCCAAAGATCTACAAAGTACTGTACCTTTTGAAACCCTCATTCCTCCTTTCCAGAGCTGTGATCTAGTGGCACACAGTGGCCCCTGGGGCCTTACTTTTTCCCCTGGGTGACTAGGGCATGTTAGTTTTTTCATAAAAAGGCATAATTATGCTGGATACCCTGAATCTCACAATTTCAGAGCGCTGGACTTCCTTCAATGTTTCTTAGAGCACAGCCTTGCTAATGTTGGATTTAACTGGAATACAAACCTATGATGCATAAGGGGCAGATTCATTACAGATAATAATTTTCTGATGATAGTGACTAAGAATGTAGCACTGAGTGACCTTCTCAGTGCTGAGAGATGACCCAGAAATAAAACTTGATGAAAGACAGATTTTGTGATTTTCCCTGATTTTTCTCTGCATTTCTCACTAGATTTATTTTAGGAGAGTCAGATAAAAGCAGCTCTTGATACTCATTACTCATTGTAACAGCACATTTTAGGGTCAGGTTTATTCTGTCAGCTGTAAAGGCCTATAGTTTTGAAGTATGGCTGTTGTTCTTGAAATAACAATTGATCAAAGAGTTCATAAAAAGTCATGGAATTATATTAATTTGAAAAAGTATCTGATTTTAAGGCAAATCTTGGTTTCCTTGTTTGCTCAGGCCTCATTCAACGAACTAATTGTGTCTCAATGCTGTCTGTAAATGCCATTGTTCCCAGTTATTAGTTTCTTGTTTTAAAAATAACAATTTTTCAGTCATCAAAGGTGGTTCCTTCTGAGGTAATAACAGTGATGTGGCTCCTTTCTATGGATGAACTCTTGGTTATCTCCCACCCTCATTTACGACCTGCGGCAATGAAGTACCTTGCTGTTCTGGATCCATATTCACACAAACTGTGCATTTTCACTCAAGGAATCTGTGACTCAATGGCTAGCACTTGCAAATTCCTTAAAATGTGCAGAGTCAAGGTAATTTCTTTGTTCCCTTGTTCAAATAAATGCATTTCAAATGAATTCCTTTCTTCAGATGAGCACATTGACAATCATAAGGCAAGAACCTTTTAAGACTGAGTGTCATAGAACAAAAACCATAGTTATGCAAGACTTGATCTTAGTTGAATGTCTCACAATGTATTTCCTTCTCAACTTGATGCTTATGTTTCTATTGCATGCTGCTAGCTCTCTTTGGACGACAAATTGTGACCAGTGGACCTCATCATCTGAAGAGAACTCTCTGAATGCAGCCAAAATGTTTCAATCCTTGATGGAATTTACAACCATATTAGAGAAACAAGTCAATCTTATAATACGATGTTACTTTTGCTAAGATTTCCAATATAAACTTTTCTTTCAGGAACTTTCTCACTCCTTGAATGAGCTTTCTAACCTTGTTCTTGCCTGTGTGCCTAGTGTCACATATCACAAGCACATGGTATTCATCTCTGAGGCAGTAAAAATCTGTAGCAGGGTCTGTAATCCAGCAAGTCAGGCAGATGAGAGGGCCATCCCTGTGTGTCAGAAGATAGTACTACAATTACTTGCTCACCCCAGTCCTGAAGTGAGGCTGCAAGCTTACAAAATATCCTTGAGTCTGGTAAAAGAAGCTTGCAGTGTGAGTCATGTGACTGAACCATTTTCTGTGGTCTGTCAAAAAGCACTGTTTGTGTTAGAAAGGGCAGTACTACATCAGATCTGCTGTTTTGGAATCTATGATGCAGATGAAAAGGTCAGTTTTGTTAACATTCTATCTTTCCATTACAACACAAATAGTATTGTGCTTGACTGTTGTGTAAGTCTGGATAAGTGACAAAGAAGACAGTGTTTCCCTTAAAAGTCTAATTGTTTGAAAACTGGCATGCCATTGTTTGGACTTGTGAGGGAATCTGTCAAAGAAAAAACTTTGTCACTATGGAAAAGAAATATCTAGTGTTAGTGCACCAAACTCTGGGTTGAAGGGCTGGGTTCTAGCCCTGGCTGGGACATTTTGTTGTGTTCTAGGGCAAAAGCTCTCATAGTGCATCTCTCCAACCATGAGTACAATAAGGTAACAGAAAAATGACAGAGGGACCTTATGAAATGCTGGGAAAAGGGGGAGGGACAGGTAACCTGTGATAGAGTAGTCATTCTCCATCGCAAGGGAGAGTAACAATACTCAAAAGACTATTTACAGGGTTTGTATGGGTCTTGGAAACCTGCAAAGTCCTGCAATTTTATTCTGACGTTCAGTCCTGGAAAAAGACAGGAAAATCCTGTAAATCTGCCCAACAGGAGCAATAAAGTTTTCAGAATTTACATTATAAGAAATGTATGATTGAAAGGAGAAATGATTTTGAAATCTTTGGAATGAAAGGGCTCAAATGGAAATTTGGAAAAATCAATCTGAGTCCTGGAGAAGTCCTGCTTGAAATTTGTTTCTGGAAAAAGGGCACAAACCCTGTACATACCCCAAGCCACTTTGTGAAATAAAAACTGGAATACACTGTTGGTTCTGCCTGGATGGGTCACTTTGTTAAGTGCAGACTTTCTTTTACTTATGCATATTCTGTAGGTCTGTGATGTGGCAGTTGAACTCATTACCACCCTACTTCTTGGTCGCCTCAGTATGAGCGGTGAACTCTGGAAAAAACTCTTAGATGGCTTGATTGCCTCCCTACCCCAGCTGCAAGGCTCAATCCTAGTTGATCCTGCTCTGGATCAGTGCATAGTGGAGCTTGTAGCTTCACGTGGTGTTACAGGAGGACATGTCACCGCTGAAGGGGACATAATAACGTTGCCGTCCTTAGAGCGGTTTAGAGGGGCATTACGACTGATGTTTGTGAAAGACTCTAAGGTGCGCAGTAAAGCCTTTGAATCTGTTGTCTGGCAGCTCACAAATCAAGCTAATAGTGAGAGAAGGAAGAGTTCATTTCAAGGTATTCTGGCAGACAATGCTGCAGATCTTTTCATGGTGGATCAGCTGACCTCTGCTGTACATGCCCATGCCCCAACAACACACACCAGTGTAGACAAGACTGAAATTCTCAATTTGTTGTCCATACTGTCATCGTCTTCTTTGGATGTGGGGTTGAGGAAATCTTCAGCTCAGCAACTAGCCATCATTTTGCAAGGTAAAAAGATGTTCTGCAAATAAACCATTTCCTGTGTTTAACTGTACGTAATATTTGTCACATACCAAGCCATAGGTGCAAAACGGTACTTCAAAATGTATTGCAAGTGCCGTGTATTAATCTTTCACTTTAGGTGAGAAAGAGAATATTACAGAGATGTGATTTATAATGTACGATGTCTTCTCTACAGGTGAGGCCGAGAGAGTGTTTCCTGATGATATGACACTATAGTGTCCCCTTTTGACTGGTTTATTGCGAGAGGGTGAATGCGATAGGAAAGGAGAGAAATGGAGGAACACTTTCACTTTTCTGAAATGGACCGAAAAAGCATCCATAAAGCATGCCAATCAATTGTTGACAAAATTGTATAACTTCTCATTTTTACCCCATTAATTCTTTAATTCCTAGAAGTGATTACCTCATAACCTCTCCCCCCTATAATATCCGTACACTATCCAGATAACTCAAAGTTATCAGGAAGAAGTTGTTTTCTTGATGTAACACCAAATTCTCGCAACCTATTCATAAGGAAATGTGTAGCAACCAGAGGGGAGAATTTACTTGGGAGTTCAAGGGTTAAATGACGTCCACGTTACTGGCTTGCCGTGTTTTGCAGCACGAAGCAAAGCTAGAACTTCCTTCCTTTCTTTCAGATCCTCAGTGGCACGAGCCTCTGTTACAGGAACATGCAGATGAAGTTTGCATGTCTATTCTGTCAGAAATAGTAGAGCAGGATGCCCCTGTACACTCCTCGACCACACCTTGCCCAAGGGTAGAGCTCATACCAGCCTGTGTGACCATCCTTAGACTGTTAGCAGAGTACAGCGCCAGCTGCAGACGCTGTTTAGCTACGAAATTGTCTTCTTATTCTGTTATTACAAGGTAAATGGGTCGATGTAGAATGGTTATTGTGCTGGACTCTGAGTCGAAGGTCCGTGTTGAAGACCTTGTGAATTATCAGGGAAGCCTGATGAAATGCTGGGGGGGGGGGGAATCTTGCAATGGACTTGCATGTTATCCCCGGGGACGGGAAGGGAGTAGTAACACTCCGGCTGCATGGGCCACTTGGCTGGAGTCCAGTGTTTTTTTACTAACAAGGTAAACAGCACCGTGCAAAGGTGAAAATCTTTAAATTATGTTGTTAAGTGTAGTTAATGCATAGGAAATACTGCTTTTTGCACATTTGTTGCAAATAATATTTCTGTTTGAATTTGCACTTCAGGTGTTCACTGTTGTGTCAGCTCAGTGGTCAAGTGAAATACGAGGCTGCTTGTCTCATGGTTCTTCTTCTCTTTGACGAGGCTGCAGTAGTGATGCCCGATAGTGGCAGTGGGATTCCTTTCAGCTTACCAAAATCACTAGTCAGAAGGTATGTTCATAAAACAGTTTGTTGCATTCTTCATCCCCTTGTCAAAATTAGGGACTTTAAGCAAACCATGATGGCAACAGTAACGAGGAAATGGCTAAACAAAGGATATCATGGACAAAACAATAGCTCTACTCGTGTGTAAAATCAACAAAAGTTTGCATTATCTGAGACCATTTGAAACTCAACGCTGCTCACATAGGGTTTGCTGAAGTTGAGGTGTGGCGCCGTTAGAGACGGTAAACACATCCAGCCATTCGCGAAATACTGACTAGAATTATCAATTCTTTTATCTAATCAACGTCTTTCTCGGGGTTGGCGTCCTGACTGCATAAGGTTCCTAACGATGCGTTTACAGCGCAAGCCTCATGGCTCCTCCCATAATTCAGGATTGAGTGACTTGCCCAAATTTTGCAACCTTGTTCAGTTTGTAACGGAGAGAAAGTAACTATTAATCACAATGTATACGGTTTGTTCTTGTTTTTGATTTTTATTTCAATTTAGTAAGGTAAGTTAAAGTCTACCGAGGGAAGTTGTGGATTGAATTAATAAGAAGTTTATAGACCCTAAAAAATCTTAGCCAGAGCTAAAGTTAAGCTTGCAAGCAATTGAATGTCACTGAAGATGTGATCATAAGAACATCACCAGGTGCTTCATGGCTTTCATCTCAGAAATCTCGGATATTCTGCGCTCAAAAGCTTGAAAAGCAAAGTTAAATATGTCTCCCAAAGACATCAGTTGCCTTGTGACATTACTTCATTCATTTATTTTTCATTTTTTTCCCCCTTTTTTTGTGACAGATTTCAGTTTCCATTCTCTCCTCCCGTCCACACTCCTATCAGTGTTCACCAGTCTCCAGAACTTGAAGGGAAAGACGCGTTTGAATCAGAACCAGCCGTGTCCAGACTTAGGTTGGCCTGGAATCTAGGCTGGCATGAAAACGTTGACAACCTGTCTAAAGTAAAGGGAGTGGAGGATAGCAGCCAATTAGATAAAAAATTAGGGTAAGATGATGTTACTTCACATGTAAGCCCTCGCTATGTACTTGCCCAGCGATGCATTCAAGCGGCTCTACCGCCAGTAATTTTTGCGTTTTCGAAGTTAACTGGTGTAGAAAAGACAGAGCTACACTAAGATATTATTCACTCGTGAAAAAATGTCTCAAAAACGGTGACATAGTAGAGGTAAGCGCAAGGTGAGCGTGAAAAGTGTGCGAAGGGTGAGTTCCACGCGAGAGGAAGAGTGCGATCAGTACAATTGGCACCTGTCGCGCTCCTCTCGCGCGTGACTCGCCCTTTATGCTCTCCTTGCGCTTGCCTCGCGCTTGCGTCCGCTCGCTAAGAAAAAAACAGGAGAAAATGGCGTCTGTCCCGCAGACTGTAAGCATCCTGTCTGCTGTCAGAATCAGCAAAGTCAAAAAAGTCCATAGTAGAGAAAGAGTAACTAAAAAACAAAAGGTTGGTGAACACTTAAACATTGTCCCATAGGTATTGGCGAGCCTTGCAGTGGACAACTCTTGATGCTGATCTTCTTTGCTGCACTCATGTTCAAATGGCTCTGAGTAATCACCTACAGTGTATGGAGACAGCGAATTCGCATTATGACGTCAAGATTGCTCTCAGTAACATCACGGCTCACTTGTTGGCTGATAAGAGTCCTACAGCCAAGCAAAAACTGGCGGTAGAGGTGCTGTACACTTTGAAATGGGAAACTGCATTTGAGAGGTATAAATAATGTTTTATAATTTACTGTCAAAGCTTGAACAACGGAATTGTGTTTGTTTTGTTTACCATTTACTGTTTCTTGTGGAATGTAATTGTATGGAAGAAAATAAGCCAATCCTAAATATAAACACTGATAGGTTCAAAAACACGTTTGTTAATCGCTTAGTTTTTAAACATAATCTAGTCTTATAATTTTTATCTTGATTTTCTCTGTAATTTATATATATACCTTCTTTTAATGTTGTAACATAGGATATGTGATTATTTATCTTATGACTTAATAAAGATTCATTCATTCATTCAATAAGACAATAACAGGGTGTTATCAACTGTGTTGATAACGTAAATTGGCCACCGTAAAGAGTTTAAAGGCTGTGGTCTCGAGCGTTAGCCCTTCGTCAGAACGATTGGAGGAATTGTATGTTGTTTCTGGGTTTATATGCAGAAAATGGAGCAACGCTATTGGTGGGAATATTGTGACGAGAAAACAAGAATAAATTAGTTGAATGAATCAATCAGGCGATAGATAGCGTGCGATCAGACCCTCATCATTAGTGCTGCCGGACGAGCGTTCCTCCGCCTGTGGGAAGATTGGGGACAAGTCAGGGAGAGGTTTCTAATTATGAGGTAATAGACCCCTTGCAGACCCCTCACCGGCTGGCATTGCTCAAGGCATCAAATTTCCCCTTTCGCGAAGAAACGTTTGGCGAAGCGCTGATCATGAGGGCCTGCTCGCGAGGTAATCAAGCGAAAGAAATTTTAACTGAACAAAGTGACGCTTATGATTTTGTGAATCAGAACGAGTTAGTTAACAGTTTGCTTACGTGTTGATGGGCCACCAGCATTAGACATTCTTACCATGTCATAGTTTTAGATGTTCACTGTTTTTGGAGTGAAAACTGTAGAGGTATTCGCTTTTGTTTTAATTTTTTAATGAGCTACTTTTTGAGAGATATACAAACATTATACGTTTTTCAAGCACTTTGACTTATTGGCTTGTGTCTCGTGAGAGACATCTTGGTTCGCCACCTATTCATTACAACGTTCGCACATGCGTGACTTTTGATCGCTCTGTACTTCGTGATTGGCCTCCAAAGGTGAAAACTTATTTCTCGGCATTTTATTTTATTAGATATCTGCAAGTGGTGCCAAACAGCAGCGATGATGATAACTTGCTCATAGAGGTACTGAAGGTGTTAGACATCATCCTTTCCAGTCCTCGTCAACCTCCAGAGCCTGTGGTGGCCTGGGTAGTAAGGGTAGTCTTACAGAGAGATGGACCACAGATGACGCTGCTGAGAAATGTCCAAACGAGTACTGCTGGCTCGCAAACAGTATCTGAATCAAAAAGGTATGCTCTGTAGATGTTTTTTTGATACTGTGAAATGTGAAGGCTGTGAGTTTTCATTGTGTTCGTAGGTCGAACAAGAAGTGAAGTGTTTTAGTCAAGGAAATGACTCATTGGAAATTGTACAGGAATAACGCATGGAGTGTAGTTATTTTACTTGGTTTGATTTGCAAGAACTTATGAAACCATTGCCCATCGCAGGCTCACCCGTACTCTATCGTCACTCTGGTTTTGTACCTAATGATGACCTTAAGCAAATTACAACGGCGACTGGAGCAAAGACGCATAAAAAGAAAGGATCCAGAGGGCAGAACAACAGCTCAATTCTAGCGTTTTACAACTTAGTACCTAATACCGTAGTAAGCCGTCCTCCAAACAACAACGTGAAGTCACTAAAATTTGTATGGTTGTAGGACGGGAAACCCCGACGGAAAATAAGTCAAGTTTCTATTAAGAACTCAACACTGCTCAAATACTTCATGCTGAAGTTGAGATTTAGCACTTTAAGCGACGATAAACACGTCCTCCTATCAGCGAAATTTTAGCCAAAGAAGACTAATTCATTCTTTTAAGTGACGTCATCCTCGGCCCTTCTGTTCTGGTTACTTAAGGTCCCCAATTTGATAGTAAGTTTCGGTTTAAGAGCGACAAAATGTGTGAAGAGGTTGTTAGAATTCCTTTCAGAACGCGCGAGTAGATTTGGCACCGTTACGTTATTTCGCCGTAGTTTTAACGACTTAACGCACGACACTAATCTTTATTGAATATAAGTCAAATGTTGTACCGCTTTTTCCGCTGTAGAGCCTTACGCAAGCATCTCCTATCTTTCCTGGTAACGTTGGTTAAGTGTCTGTCGCGATACACCAAGGAATGGAGACTGGATAAAGAGAGGATTTTTATTGGTGACCTGGCTTACGCTTTAGCTCTGAATTTGGATTTAGCAGACAACCCACAGTTCTATGATTTGCCCGTGCTTGAGACGTCACTTGTTTGTTTGGTGCATGTCACTTCGCAGCCACGGTGGAGCTCAGACTGCAAATTCTCCCAAGAAATGAGTCTGTGTAAACAACTCATGTCTTCACTGGTTCAGGTACAGTATTTTTGGATTGGTTTCCAATCAAGCATCGTAAAACCGAAAGCAAATAATTACAATGACCAAAATGAGTAAAGCAGAATGTTATGAGCAGTCTGTGAGAGCTGAAAATAAATGAAGGTAAAAGGCTTTTAGCGCGAGGAAATTTGACATCGACATCTAGTGACATCAAATTCAACGCTAACTTTGACTTTGACTTCGCTTCGACAAATGGACTTTTTGCTTTTACATCTTCATGTTATTCGTCAGATCTACTTGACAGTGGGTAATAGCATAATTTGGTGAACCTCGTTAAAGCCATTTCACCTCACTCCTTGTCCTTATGGTCGCAAGAATGAACAAATGAACATTGCCTTGGAGGAGAAAGTGTCGACAATAATTTTTAAAATATTTCTTTCTTTCAGTTTGTTTAAAATAACTTATACTTGACGCATTAATGTATTTTTTTCAGGTGGTTCTAGCGTTCCACGCTGGCAGACTTGGCGCCAGTTTGTCATTCATGGGTAAAGGTGTCACTTATTATTCCAGCCTGTGTCTGTTGCACCTTACACACGAGATGTCCATTATTGATCCCGAAAAGGTATCTCATTGTTTCTTTTTATAACGTGACAATTAGCTGAAACTGCGGTTTTCTTTTTCTTTATTTTTTTACACTGAAGAAATGCGAATGAAAGACAAATTATTTGCCTTTCGCTTGGAAATATGTTTAGTATCTAACTTACTTCGATGATCGCGTTTAAAGATTACTATCTGTCTCACTCCACCACCGTTCGGGAAACTTTCCACGTGGCTAATCGTAGCAGAATACAGGCCGCTTGTATCCTTTTCATGAACCCAGTGACTCGTTATCAAGTCCTAATTTCTCAGTTTGCAGGAAATTCGATGTCTAAATCAGATGTTTTTAGGTTCGAGAAATCCTCACAGGACCTCGGTTCTTCTCTACGATTTTGTCATTTTTTCCTCTACTTTAAATAGATGCACGCTTAGTTCACACTGCATGCTTAGTATGAGGAGGTCCTTTTTGAAAACCATATCTTTTATGAAAAAGTTTCCTCAATAAAGATGATTACCGTTTTTTTTTTTCTTTCTTTTTCGTAGGCCTGGGTCCTAAAATGGTCACGTGGTCAAGACCATCAAGATGAGCCCCTACCATGGCTGGTGCCTTTGTTGACAGACCGCTGGCCGGACGTCCGTTGGATGGGCCTTGGTGTATGTACAAGTCTTGCTGGAAGCGAGCAAGGCAAGCAGGAATTACAAGTGGCTGGGCAGAAGTTTGTAGGAGGCTTGTGGAGCTTTGTGTTTACTGTTTTACTAGATGACATGGAATGTGGCTTTGTCAGGCAGCAGGTTTGTAACATATCGGTGTGAAAATTGAAAATTGGTAAGCAAGCATGGAGGCGCGGTAGCTGAGTAGCCAAGGCTGCGGTTATTATAGGTGTGTTCTGGGGCAAAACACTCAACACTCACATTGCCTTGTTGTCGTGGTAACGTTGAGGAAGGCACCTTTAATTGCGATCGATAACTTCCCAGTCAAAGCCAAAATATGGAAATCGTTTCTTAATAACTCTGAGTCCAATCGATTCATTATTTTTTCTCAACGTTTTTGCCCAGATTCAAAGAAAAAATGTATGGTATACGTTTCTTTGGTTGCAATACAGGCAATATTTGAAACGATTATCAGTACAGTTATTCGTTACCAGGCCCAAATGAGTAAAATTAGAGTTACTACCTAACACTTCTGTACTTGAGGGAGGCTTCGTAGATCCGTTACGAATTCAACTTCCTCATAAAGATGTCTCTTTTTTTAGGCGGCTCTGTTGCTTACTACTTTAGTCAGCGGACTGTCACCTGGAGGGAGCCCCCCTGGAGAGAAACGACAAGAGGACCTAAAGGTATACATGAAAAGTTACCTGCAGAGCCTGCTAAAACGTCTTCTTGCCATTGTATTAAATTGACTTTTCGTTTTACCTCTCTGTGATGAAAACAGCAGTACTTTTCTATGCGGCGTTGAACATTTTTTGCCCCATTGAGATGTTCGGTCGAATTGCTTGTCAAACGTGCAAAAATAGTTCTATCACTCTTAGATTAAAATGTTGAATCTTTTAAAGCCTGAATGTTTTGGGGCTTTGTTTTGAAAAACCTAGTCAATGGTGCATAAAACTGTGAAGATCTTTCCTCTGTGGAAACCTATATCCTACAGTTCAGATGTACGACTTTTTTACTACTTAATCAGATTTAAAACGAACTTTTGCGAGCATCCTTGATTCTTTTTTTTCACACTTTCAACATTGGAGTCGAAAGGTAACTTCGATGGTATTGCATGGCAGTTTTATTCAAACTAAGAATCTACAGATCTCCGCACTTCAAGTCGATTCCATTTGTTGCAGACTAACTTAAATACAAAGATTAAGCTTCTTGATAAATCTCCTTCTCCTGTATTAAGTAACCTTTCGCTTTTCGCTTTTTTAGAACCCTTCCAAGGGAATTCAAGATCTTCATTCCCTTCTGGAGCATTTCAAGTTTTTCCAACAGTTCTCCAACATGCTTACAAGCAGTCCAATTCCATTGATTCCACCGCATGGCACATCCAAGGCTTGTCAGAGCTCTGTCACAGTGTCTCTTTCGTCGGGGACTGGTACAGACTTTCCATACAAGCCTCTTGGCTCAACGTCACAGACCCGGTCTGGCAGTGTAAGCTCGGAAGCTCAAACATTAGCTACAGAGTCTGCAAATGGTAAGGCAAGCCCTGGAGTGTTTTCAGTAGCTTCTCACACCTCGAGCACAATCTTGTCAGGGGCGTCTTCGTCCGCACCTGAGACGCAGTTATCAAGGACTCCTACCTCTTTGGTTCCACTGATTAATGAAAGAGGTCTGCCGAGTGGGTATGTCTTCTCCATGGGCATTTTTTTGCTGGATTTTCTTTCTTTTCAAGTCAAATGTGATTCTGCTGGATATTAAAATGAAGGCTGACATCAATTAAACTGAATGTCTATGCTATTCCAAAACAGCATCGTAGGAAACAAAATATAGAAATTTACGGTGCAAAAGCTCACCATTACAAAAGCTTTTTCAGCTGAAGGTTCATGTTAAGTTTTGCTGTTTTTGATCAACTCTTCAAGCTGAGAGTGACCAGCATCTAATTTCCCCTTACAATACCACCCCTGAATCAGACATCAAGGTTAAGAGATCACCGCACAACACAGGTCTCCAAATTGGCGACTTCCCTTGCAAATTTAGTCGCTAAAATTTTTCTCCTCTCGCCGTGCCGACTCAATTGGTTGAAGCTTGGAGCGCTGACCACGTCTCAATCTACAATCTTAGGCCGGGTTATCCAGTTTAAAACTAAGTTTGAGCTCTTAATCGATTACCGCGAACAGAAACACGTAAAGTGTTTTTATTTGCTCTTTATTTACCGTTTTATTTACATACACTTAGTATGTCCAGTGCCAGCGCTAGTGGTGGCGTAAGTAGTTCTATCAACTCGGTGGCTCCATCAGGGACATCCTCAGCAGTTACAAGGTCCTCCATAACACCGGGGCTCATTGGTGCAATGGCACGTCTGGTGAACAATTTGGTACTCCTGAACCCTGGGCCCATCATCGCAGCTCTGAACAAGGCAGAGATTCTAAGCAGCCTTATCGAGTGAGTATGTAAGAATTATACGTTGTAGCGCAATTTTTTTATCATTGCAAATGGAGACGCAAATGGCAATGATAGACGATGATATTTTTTTTTATATTTTTGCTGTTTGTTTGCAGTCATATTGATTGCACGGAGGTACAAGGCTACCTTTGTGTGGAAGAACCCACCCCGCTGTCCTGCGCGTCCGCTGTAGTGATTCAAGAGATACTTTGCATGTACAGCGAAATCTTGTCTTTCCTTCACACTGTTGTCAAAGTGAATACCATCTTTTGCTTCACTTTGCTGCAAGACCACAAAGCTCTTGACAGGATAATGCTCCTTTTTTCACTTGATGCTTCTCATACAGGTAAACTGAACGCCCACTAAAACATCAAAGCTGCTATTTAATGTTAATCAAGCAATAGATTGCACTCTCTCTTAGAGTAACTTTCCATCGAGTGTTGAAAGTGATACGGAATTGCATTAGTTTACTTTGCTCTTTGATTGAGTTTACTCGCGTTCTCATTGGCTCCTCAGGGTATTTTCCTTTCCTTTGATTGGCAGCTCTGATTACCTTGGTCTTGGTTTTATGACATTCAGTCGAAAAGCATTCTAAAAGTTTACTGACGTTACGGCCCATTAGTGATAATGGAAGAGCACAAGATAAATCTTCAATAAAAGATAAAATGATGTCGAAATGGAAAAAATGCACAACGAAGAAACTTGTTCCACGTGAACAGTAACCTCATTTCAATTCCGATTTGCCCACAATCAATTTATGCCTGTATGAGCGCAATATCCTTTGACGTGGAAAGCTCGTTCATGCTCCGACGAAAAAAAACGTACAAGTTTTCTGGTACTCACGTAACCTTCCGTGTGTGGAGTTTGTCAGAGTTACGAAAAAGGAGCGTGGAAATAATTTGTCAAACCTTTTCCTTTGTTATATCAGATGACAGTCTACAAATTGGCGTCATAACTGTGCGAGAGAATGTTTGTAAACTGCTAATCACACTGCTGCAGAACCAAGGTCAGCTGTCAGTTCCAAGTGTTGTTGAGGAGACTCTATTAACTCACTGGAGGCTATTAATCAGTAAGATGGAATTATTTTTTTCTGCGTGTAGTAAAATAAACATGACACTTCAGGTGTTGTTGAAAAACTTGGAAAATACATTTAATTTCATGCATGCCGTAGTTATAAGCATGCGTTTGATTTACCTTTGAAATTTCTTTTACGAAGCCTTTTCTTGAGAAAGATGTTTCGGTCTATTTTTGTTTACAATGGAAATGATATACAAGCTCATTATTGCTTACAGTCATCGCTCATGATAGAATTAACGCTCTGTTGTTTTATCGTTTTTTTCGTGTATCCCCGTCGTCAGTCATTCTCCCCAAACCCTTTCATCACTTTTTGTGATTAGCATCTAATTTCCCCTTACAAAACCACCCCTAAATCACACGTGAAGATCATGAGAATAAAGGGAATGATCACCAACTAAGGAAACTCTTGGTTGTTAAAAAAATAACACTCCTTGTCAGCGGTATGCACATTGACATTAGAGAAGATATAATGGCTGATCACTTTTTTTTAAAATTTTTTTCAGGTGTCACCAAACATTCATTTGAAGAGAGCAATTCCCCCGCCCTATCCTCCCTAAGAATTTTACTTCTTAAGCTTCTTGGCCTCCAGTTGACCATCGAGGGCAAACGACAACCCAATGGGAGAGGGTGGAGTAACGGAAAATCTGATAAACCTCTAATAAAGAATTATTTTACTCGATTACTCGATAATACCGATACCAGTGAACACTTGGTGGATGCTGTGAGGAATGAGAAAAATCATAGGGAACAAAACGGTGAATACGGCCCAGGATTTTCTGCTAGCAGTGAAACTTCTGGTCAAGAACTTTGCAGCGTTTTACTAGAAGTCTACGACAGTGCCCCTTCGCGGCAGAGTTCACTTACCACGGAACAGGAGCAGGCGTTAGTGTGTGCTGTTCTGAGTGCTTTATTGGCTTTAAGTCACGCGGCGAAAAGAATTGCTCTGCAAGGTGAGGAGATTGACCGGTCTTACCTGATAATTTATTTTAAGAGAGTTTAGCTGCTGTTTGAAGTCTCAAAACGCGGTCTAGCAGTAAACTTCACAATTATTTCTTTAATAGTGAAGAATTGAAAAAAATTTTAAGGGTTTTGAACATCCGGGTCCTGTAAACTACTCGTGAGTATGTTTTTTTGAAACAGTCCTCCTAATCCGCCTCGCTCCCGCATAGATTCATTCTTGCTTCCTTTGTTTATCTAGCTGGGCTTGTGGAAACCACTCTGGAACACGTCAAGCATCTTCATGCCCAGATGAACATGAATTCACTCCAGCTTGGGAAAGGTTCTTCGTGGAGAAGGAAGGTAATGACTTAAACATCCTGTAGTGGTTTGTTTACCGGCACAAACATAACTTATTTTCTTCCATCCTTGTGTGTTAGCTCTTTTCCTCAGAGATTCCTGTATAACGTGGTCTCGATCTTTTGTTTTCTTTCCTCGAAATTGCGCCCATGAGTTCAAACCTTTTCTGCGAGTTTAGTGACCGAGTCATTCTTCCTCGTGCCCTTGGATAAAAGAGCCATCATCACAGACTGCCACTTTTTCGTGTCCTTCCCTCTTTTCTTCGTTACTTTGCCTCAGATAATGCCTTCTCCTTTTCTTTGGTAAGTGTTGAAACTGCCTCACTCCTACGCGTAACACGAGTTCGATCATACGTAATACGAGTTCTAAAAATGTAACACGAGGTTTCGAGAAAATATGCATTGAGTTTCACCGATTAAAGTTGATATTCAAAAGCAAAGTTCGAGTTATCATTACAGTAAGGGAACGCAAAGTTCAGACAAGCTTTTTTCTTATTTTTAGCTTACTGTTTTTTCTTTTCAGGAGGATCCATTGATGATCGAGCTTATTAAGGTGCTTCAACTACTCAGAAACTTTCTTCACTGTAATGCATCAGTCAAGGTATCTAGTAGTCACATAATTCCTGACTGTCAATCGTTTGCATCTATCAGTGTTGTGTTACCGTAGGTCTATCTTGATAACCAAATATATGTCTGGAGCTTTCACATTCAAGTAAGAGTGTTGCAGGATGACAGGGGTCTATAGCCGCCTCTAAGATCTCTTACCACCGTCTGGTTAGCCTGCGAGTAGGCTCTGGTGTTTTGGTTTTCGTCTTTGACCCCTTTTGGAAAAAGTTATTGAATCCCCTGAAGGATTCTGGGAAGAGGTTGGGGAAAGTTTTTGTCTTTGTAATGTATACATATGGAAATGCAAACTGAAGGTATGCTTTCTTTGCCTTCGCTTCTGTAGAGAGCTTGCGTAGAAAGCAGAATCGTTGATGTCCTGCACAAACTCTGGTCGTGGTGTTCCGTTGAGGTGCACCTTCTAAACGAAGTTTTGCGTCTGCTATCAACGCTGACTGCACAGTTTTCTAAAGGTAAATAGTTCCTGTGAACTGATAAGAGTTACTTTTTTCGAATATATCAACCTCCTATATTTATTTCTAGATACTATTATCCTCTTCCGTTGTGAGTTTGCTCTCTTTCAATTTGCCACAAGGGCAGTATCACCTGGTGTGAGTCATTTAGACACTTTTTAGGGAACTTGTCATCTTTTTTCCAGTGACATGTCGCCTAAAACACCTTTTATTTGATAACGTCCATCTTCACAGCCCTCATGATTTAGAGAAATGTGATCCGAAATTTGACTTCATTTGTTGTACTGTGTTTTGTTATTGGTGTAGAAAGTTCGTGCCACCTTTTGAACTAATCAACTGCAAAACTAAAATCGCTTTTGCCATGGTAAGACTGATTTCTTTTTCTCTACCCTGAGCCGGTTTCCTTTGGTTCAACTTGTTCTCATTTGCCAACTTTGGTATCGGTTTTACGACGCTCCTGAAGTGCAATACACGAGCCACATCCAAAGCCCACATAGATGAAAAATAAAACCCACCTATTGACCACACAACTATGTTTAAATATTGCCCATCAAATACTCGTGTAGATTGAATAACTATATCAGTAGCATAATTTTTTTTTCTGGATGTATTTGTACATTTTTGTGACGAATTAATTAAATAACAATTTTAGTTAGAGATCAGATAGGCACCGAAAAACTTTTTTTTTCTGATCGTTTCGTTTGTCCTTGCAGCATCAGCTTATGTCGCAGGTAGTTCAGGTGTTCTTGGCAACGTTAGCCGTTCTGTTCAGAGTGGAAGCACATTACTACATAGCCTGATTAAACTGACTCATAAGACCAACAGTAAGCTTCAGAACAGCTCCAGTACCGAATTGGACATGCACCTGGTTGTTCTAAAGAACATGTTCAATCTGCTTAGTAACCTGGCTTTAAGTGCCGAATGTAGAGGAGTCCTGTGGAAGGTAGGCCTGGGAACGTGTCACTCGCAATAATGTCGTGTCGTCCATTACAGTCGCTTTTCAAGTAGTAATTTCTCTTCTCATAAATTTCTGCCTTTCCTGTTGTACTCGGCATGAATGTAGCGAAATTAGGGCAAGTACTTCTCAAAAACAACCTCGTGCTTACAAGGCGCGTACAATTTTCGAGAGCTGCCGTCTTGTCCTCATGCAACTCCCGTTAGTGGTTTAATCCCTCCTACGCCCACTGGCTGTTATACGTAGAGAAAATTATAGTGGCAGAGAAATCTAACGTTCGGATAAAAACACATTGCGGACCTAACCTTTTATAAGGAATTTTTGAAGTGTAAGATTTTGAATGATAATCTTGTTTACCACTGTTGTTCAAGTCGAAACGTTTATAAGGCTGGATGCTTTTTCCTCTGTCTCTGCAGACGAACTTTTTCCAACCATTCGCTTCACTGAAGCCTATTAAAAGCGGTGCCCATCCTAGACACAAGTCCATTACTCGTGGCGTGACACTCTGCTGGCTCAACGTACTCGTTAGCGTGACATTCTTTACCGATGGCCAGCAGGTTGTGGTCAAGACCCCTGGCGTTGTAGAAGTGTTGTTAGAGCTAAGTATGGCTCAGAACAGGCAGCTACAGGAAAAGGCTCTTCTTGTTCTGAGAAATTTGTGCTTCCATGGCGCCAGCAAGCCTGTGCTGTTGGTGAACGGTGAGTTATCATCTTCGCATTAGTGCTTTTTTAGCCTAGTATTTGTACGTGCTAACGCAAAGTTATGGCAACATGTACTAGCCATGGTATAAGAGGCTGCCAAACAGGGTCATACTAAATACTCATATGAGCCATACCACTAATGACCTAAGTTGGTGATCTTTCTCAAGTTTTCGTACATCACACTCCTGTTTTCAAAGATTTCATCTTGATTTAGAAATAACCAACGACGTTTGCAAGTGAACGGCCAAACATTTGTCTGTTCGTTTCCTGCCAAAATAGGCCAGCAACGTGTGAGGTACATGTGACATTGTAGAGTGCTTTTGGATTGAGTGACATTACACCAAAACCAAGGCAATCACAACAGCCAGTCATGGCTAAGATATATCACCAGGAGCTAATGAGCTTATTCTCCCAAATGACGAACTAAATTATTCTTAATGCTTTGTTTACTTTGAAATGATTGTCCTTTTCTTTCTCCCCCCCCCCCCCCCCCCCCTCCCCTTTACGGGCGAGACTGGTGCTGTGGATCCAACAACAATTAAAATGATTGGCATCTCCTCTGTTTTGCAGAGAAGCTACTGTCTCTACTGGTGGAATTTACTACTGATAATTCCGTTTACTTGAGGGCACTGTGCCTCTCAGCTTTGTGCTCACTTTTGCACAATTGTCAAAAGGTACGTTGCATGTCACGATAGTGAAAGTTTGTTAAACCATAAAGTATGAAAAAAGAAGCACTGAATTAACCTTTTAACCCTGAAGAGTGACTAACATCTAATTTCTCCCAACAGTATCACCGATGAATTACACATTAACGTCATGAGAACTAGGGAAATGATCAACAAATAAAGAAGCTCTTGATTGTTAAATGAATTCTCCTTGTCAGCACCTTAGGGACTATAAAGAGAACAGTGTGGAGAATGTGCATACTGATTTTAGGGTGTAAAGGGTTAACAGAAAGATCGCTTGTTGCTGTGCATCTGTTCAGTTGTAAATCACAGGTGACGTCAAAATGCGGTAAGAACAGAAACAAGTGGCGCGCGAGGCGCTTTGGAGTGTGTTACAGATGATCTTACGGATGTTCTTTCTCTCTGGAGGGCACGAATGAGGATTCAAAGGTAAACTACAAACAGCATCATCGTGTCTCTCAACTACTTTACTTTCATTAGGCCAAAGTATCTTTAAAGAAGACGGGATTGGTGAAGAAACTCGACGAAATTAACTTGCTACCGGGTAAGTTGGTGAAATCTTCATTCTTTTCAACCATCAACAACTACCTTCAAATTTGTTCGGGGCGCGAGTGCTTTTGAAGTTACAGGACGGGGTAAAATTCCGAAAAGCCCTCGTTCAATCGAAGGATATCGCCTCTGATATAAAACCCTCCATCAAGTACTTTCTTTAATCGTAGATATTTTTTTTTAAGTGTCTTTTTTTTTTTTTTTTCATTTCAGAGTTTGAACCTGCAGCAGAGGACAAATTTAGCAAAATGTGTCAGGAGAATATAAACATTTTACGGAAAATTTTCTCCGACAAAGATGATCGTGCTGTGTAATGTTTTTTTTTTTTGCATATTCGCCCTGTACATAGTATTTTTAACGATCGTATCAGGCAGGAGATGTTTGCGCGTTAAAACTCCGACGAACTTTCGTAGCCTTGTTCCAAGATTTCTGTATGAGGACAAGTAAATAAACCGATCGTGCTTTGGGATGAGAACAGCCCTGAGGACTTTCTCATCCGGAGGCAAAAAAGTTGCGGGAGAAAAAAAAATCAAGGTAGTGCTTTGTAAATAAATGTAAGTATTAAGTCTTGTGGCAATAAAGGATCTACGCTCTGACCTTAAGACAAAGCAGACTACGAGCATTCCTTGCTTTTCGACACGCGAGTACAAATATCAATGAAAAAAATAATAAATATATAAAAATGTTAGCGCGCCGCGCGGAACTATGGCAGTGAGGCTCACGAAAAGTAGGTGCGCGTCGTGCCCAAATCATTTTTTTTTTTAAAACTTGCGCGTCGAATATCACCGAAAATAAAGACTGCTCGTTGTCTAAATATAGGTTTGCATCGTCACTTAACCTGCGTGACACTTGACGAGTGGCAAAACAGCGAGTAGACGTTAATAGGAATCAAGAGAGACGGCTGTGAATAAGTTATTGAGACGGCATTATGATACCTTCAAACTGACCTGTTAAACTAAGGCAAAAATGAAGTCTTGTTCGGTGTACCACACGCAATGTTTTATTCAAAGGTCCACACTGTTCGACATCAACAGTCTTGAAGAGTGTTCATGTCGAACCATGTCAGTAACAGTGTTCATAAACAAGAATTCTCGTAGTTCTAAAGCTTCAGAAGTTGTAATAGCCAATTGGTTTCTTAAGAAGAAATATTATATCAATTGGCCGCCATCCAGATTAAAGCTTCGGTTCAATGTGTTCTTAAACAGAAGATCGCATTTCGTGGGCCACGATCTGTTTTTTTTTTTTGGACGCATTGATGTACTGGCATAATCTCGCGCATCTTAGAACAAGCGAAATTGCGTAGTGACTTGGTCGTTCTGTGACTGTTAAAAAAAGCATAATAAGAGATGTCACGTGTACAGTCGAATGAGGTGATCTGCTCCGGCAGTGAAAATCCATGGTTGATTTGGATGGAACTGACAATCCACAACACCTGAAAGGGACGTAAGGAAGGTTGTCACGACTTAATAAACTGCAAGTTAAACAAGCGTCGAGGCGGGTGAGCGAAGAAAATAACGATGGCCATCGCTATTTTTCGCTCATTCAGTCTCGCGCGTATTTCCATTGGGCGACAGCCTGGAGCTGAACAAAATGGAAACAGATTCAGAACAATGTTCAACAAGTTTTAAAAAGGGCAACATCCCCTATCGATGCTTTATAAGGTTTCAGAGCGTTATAAGATGCAACGAAGAAGTTCTCCATCCCAAGGGGTTCACGTTTCTCCAAAGGGCGTCTTTAACTAATAAAATTCAAATAAAAAAAAGTGGAACAAGTTGTGCAAGAAAACTAGGAGCCAATATAAAAGATGTGTTAAGAGTTAAATCATCGCGCTCAAGAAGAACAGATAAAGTTGCGAACTAACTTACCCAGCTCTCCTTCTACCCGATGTCCTTTCAGTACTTTAACGGGAACTATCAAAGGATTCTGCATCAAGTCACTGAAAAGAATCAGGGAAATTGTTTTTACTGTAAATGGTTTGTGTAATAATTCTTATGATAACTTCCCTAGAGTCAGTGATACGTCGGTAACTTACACCGACAAATAATTCGAGCACCCTCACCTGAATTACCACTATTCAGTGTAAGAATGATTTCTACGAGGCCGCGGGAAAACTGACGAGGTAGAGAGAAGACTTCTATATTTTACTGACAAGGGTAAATATTTTGGTCCAACAAGAACCGTTCCCTGTCGGGATTATTTTTATCGATGAGAAATCGTAAAAGGAAATAGAAAACGGTGCTGTTTACAACACTATAAAAAAAGAAGCTTTTTTCTAGTTCAGCGAGTAAAAAAAATGACCTCTTAACCGGTTACGAAAGATTACTCACGACCCTTGATTTCTATCAGGAAAAAAGCATTTAAAATAATTATTTTATTTCACGTGGAACATCACTCAGTGTTGTAATTACATTCCATATCCTTCGCAACGGTTTACTGCGAGTTAAGTTCACAATAGTATGAAATCGCCAGTTAGGATCAACAGTAACTTACTTGAAGACTCGTCCGTGGCAAACAATAACTGTACCGTCATCGCTGGCAGATGCGAACAGAGGGTAATGCCGATGGAAAGCCACCTGACGTAAGGCCTTTTTATGACTCCTAAAAATATTGATGTTAAGAATGATTTTATTCGGCATTGCAAGACTTACCAAGAGAGCTAAGCGTTTCAATTAATCACATAGGCCCTGGTACAATTCTCAACTGGTAGTAAAAAATAATCCGGGATAACCTTGGTTTTGGGTTCCTTCGCTATGTGATTGGTCAAGAAAACTTGCGCCGTTCTCACAACCAATCACATTCAAAGTTAAACCTAATTGCGACTTGGTCTCTTGTACTTTCTCGCGCCTGCGCAATTTGCGTTACGGTATTTTCATTGGCTCCTGGTGATTTTTTTCCTTTCCTCTGATTGGCTGTGGTGACTACTTTGGTTTTAGTCATACGATTGTAATGCGCTCCATTTTAAAACCTGATCTCCTTTAAGTTATTTTACGACTCGAATTTAAAAGAAAAAAAGGTTCAAGAACCGTCCACACCAGAAAACAGATAGAATGTTACAGTATACACTACAACGATCACCAACGAGTAGAAACGCTGGAATGCTTCCTTGAGCATGCGTAATTCAAGTCCTAATCTTCCCGCCCAACAATACAAAGAGTGGTAATTCGAAAAGCTCCGTTAAAGGCAAAAACAGCGTTTTCAAATATATCCACCTTGGACAGCATTATCGAAAAGTATAATTAACCATACTAGTGTTGACGGTATGTCCAAACGAATAAACTTACTTTTTTAAATTTTTCCCGCGTAGCGCAGATAAGGTCTAGGATCGATCTTCTCACAGGACCTCTTACTTTACATTTGGGGTTTGAATTCAGCTTTTTTACAACAACAATGTAAAGGTTGGAGCAGTTCGGCTACTGTAATCAGGGCAAATATAGATATTTTGCTAGTAAATATGATCACCAACCTTAGCGTTTTGTACGGTTTAGTCGACAAGTCCAAATCAAACCAGCATAGCCGACGGTCATAACTTCCCACAATCAAGTTATCCCCTGTAAGAAATTAAACGAGTATATCTAAATCAGACACTGAAAAATTTCTACATTGCACAAGCCTTTGCCAGCGAGTTTCGACAAATTCAAGATTGCGCATCAAGTACAACTTTGCCATTTATGGGAAGGAAATAAAACTGCTCAACTGTAATAAAAAAAGTCTGCTTCACCATTGTGAGTTAAAACTTGAGACCGATTGTTTAAGTTTAACAGAGTAAAGAGCAACCTCGTGGTTTGCACAATCTTTTCCTACAAAATACATCCTTGATCCATTTCAAGTCTTGAGTTATCATCACTTCTTTTGCGCTTCAACGTCTCATCAAAGTATTCGTTTGTGGTCTCTTTAAGTTGAAAGTAATCTCGGAGCACTACCTATGTTTCCTCTCAGCGTAAATCCCATCGTGAGAGAACGGCGATTTTTCCCGCCGATTTGAGTTGACGTAAGCAACATATTACGCTTGGAAACAGGAACGGCTGCAAGCCAAGTCCACCAAAACATCACAGAAACTGCCCCGAAAATAATATTTACTGGACATCTTAGTTTTTAGAGATTTCAGTGAGTGATTTTAACTTGAGGGAACCGTACCTTTTGGATGCACAGCCATACTGGAGATCCACTTCACGTTTGACACAAGTTTCTTTGTTTGCTCTTGTTTGATGAGGTCGTAGACTCTGATAAATCTCTGTGTCTGAAGAAAGAAGGCAAAGTAGGTGTAGAAACGAAAATCAGGTAACTTTTGTGTTCGTATGCTCACAAAAAATATTTAACAATTTCAGAACTGTGATAGTTTCGCTTGAGTTTTACAAGTTGTTGGAGCTATGAACGGATCATCGATTTTCGCGTTTTTGTCGCCTATTTGCGGGATAGTGCGCATTGGTCGGGAATTGATGGAACTGACATTACGGCGGCTACTCTTTGCCCGGACTTGTGGGTATTCTAAGATGAAAACAAAATATAGAGACACTTCTTTATACATTCACCATAAGTAATAATCCACCATTCATCAAATCACCATTTCCAAAGCATGAACCGCGACTTGAAAATCCGAATGGTGTTACGTATTTTGCGCATTCATAAACCTAACTGAAGTATCCTACAAGCAGAATCAACGTACAAGAAACAATTGTCACCAAGTCCACAGTTTACAATACTTACAGCGACAAAAAGAAATGGTCTCGTCGGGTGAAACAACACTCTTTGGATTAAACCTTTGGATTTCTTGAAGGGACACTGAAATATGACGAGAATATCAACTCGAGAAGTGGAGCTTTGCTAGTGATAAAAAGGAAAGTTCTTCCTACAGCTAAACAATAGTATATTGAAAGCGATTGGTTAGTAAGGCCTGTAAGACCTGTCGTCTGTTTAGCTGCGAGCAGGCTCACGGGTTTCGCCTCACGGCCCCTTCCAGTCACAGCTCGCGCATTACACCGTCAGCAGTCGCTCATGGAAAAGTTTATTGAAACCACTGGACCACTGGAGAAATGTATATTTTTCAACCGCTCAAAAGTTGATCGGAGGCTTCACGTACCTGACTTCGACGTTTTGGTATGTGGTGGATGAACACAGATTTGTTGCCACCTAAGAGATATAACAAAAAGTTCGAATACTGTTTCAGCAAAACATATCGAGATTCCAAAAAAAGAAAAAGTCCTCAGGACAATGGAAAAACATATACAACGCAGAAAGCATATCGTTTTTGTGGAAGATCTTCCTCAAAATAGTTCAAAGTTAATCTCTTACCCTGGGGTACAACCGACGCCAAATAATCTCCCTTTCCATGCCATGTTATCTGCGATATGACCTGTTGAAACATCAAAAACTTGCTAGAGAATAATTTTACTTAAACCTTTTACAGTCTCCATGAAATCTGTTCTTTTGCAGCCATCTCTACTGAGAAATTTTAGTCCTTGGCAAGTTTTACCATAGCAAGTCTGGGATGCAAGTTTTAAGCAAGGGTGGGTATGACGACGGCGAGCAAGCGTGGCTGCAATGTGCAGGAACAACTTCCATGAAAATACTTTATTGGCTAAAAAGGTACAACCTTCAAACTGATTGGTCAGAGTCAACAAACACGAGTGCAAGGATAAGGCTGCTCTGTTCAACGACAACATTACCTTGCTGTGTTTTAAAACTAAACGTTCTCCATTTCTGTAGTCTTCCCCTATAGCCACTGACCACTGTACGCCAGATTCTTTCTCAGCTGTGAAAAGATAAGTAAAAAGATGAGATTCAGTCCAAAGTGAAAAGGAGTGTGCAATAAAACAGAGCCACATGACTGAAAACATTCTGACAAACATCTTAAGTCCATAATTAGAATTGTACCTTCTCCTGTAGGAATATCAAATAATTTATCCGTCGTTTCACACAACTCTTTGCAACCAAGATAATGATTGATAATGACGACTTTGTGTTCGCTGTAAAGAAAAACAGAGAGGTGTTCAAATTAAGACA